AGGTCAGTGGTTAAAAAATGTCCTGCTCTTGCAGAGGACCCAGGTTCAGTTCTGTCACCTGCAGAGTGGCTCACAACTTCATATGTCTCTAGTTCAAGGGAATCTGGTGTCCTCTTATGACCTCTGAGGGCTCCTGCACACATGTGGTACATATAAACCCAGGAAGGCAAGTACACATGCATATAAAATAAATAGGTAATTAAATCTTCAAACAAAAGAATTATATAAAACATTTAAAAATTATTAGGATTGAAGTTCTTTTTAACTGATCATCCAAGGAGGTCTATCAGATTCTGTAGTGCATAGGATTCAAGGTGCTTCCTGTTGTAGAATAATATTTTTAAGACATGTTACAGTTGTTTGTACTGTGGAACATTTGTTTAATGATACAAAGATGTGTTGCATTCCTAGATGTTGCATTTGTTTAACTCTGTGAAGCTGTGTTACTTTGCCTATCTAAAACATCTGATGGGGTAATAAAGAGATGAATGGCCAATAGTGAGGCAGGAGAAAGGGTAGGCATGGCTGGCAGGCAGAGAGGATAAATAGAAGGACAAATCTGGGAGGAAAAGAAGAAAGTCCAAGAAAACAAGAAGAGGAAGATGTGAGGTGTCAGCCACCCAGCCACCCATCCACCCAGCCACCCAGCCAGCCATGAAGTAAGAGTGAAAGTAAGATATATAGAAGAAAAGGAAAAAGCCCAGAGGCAAGAGATAGAGGGGATAATTTAAAATTAAGAAAAGTTGGCAAGAAACAAGCTAAGCTAAGGCCAGGCATTTATAAATAATAATAAATCTCTGTGTGTAACTTATTTAGGAGCTGGGTGGCAGGCCCCCCAAAAGAGTAAAGAGCAAAAACAATCAACAACAGCTTTCCTTTATAATCCTAGCTGCAGATTAGGACACATTCAATACCTTTACTGGGCATCAAATACAAGAAGGAAGAGTGGAAGCCATTACATGGTACAGTGGACCACAACAGAAAGAGCTTGATATTTATGAAAGCATCTTGAACATGTTAAACATGTTAGTACAAAATGCTGAGGTCTCTCTGGTAGGAGGGAACTCAGAATTTAAAATGAGACCGATATCTTAACCTTGAGGCAGTTTTGAAATATTACAGGGATCAGACTAGTAGCCAGGTCCTGGCAAGTTTCCACAGGCGGTCTAGGGTGTTTTATTACCTCATCTAATTTAAAGAACAATGTATTACTTCATCTCTAGTGTTTTATGTTATTGGAGATCCACTTTTATTGGGCAGGGTTTTAATTAATGGCACAAAGGGAGGTGTGGACATGGATATATTCTCAAATTCTGCAAGGAGAATGTTGAAAATAGGAGCCAAAAAAGACTTAACACATCATATGGTTTTCTCCTCTGGGTTTTTTGCCATGGATGGAAAAATGAGGCTGAGCTTTGCCAGAGCATATTCAAGTTGAACAGTGCAGCAGTGACTCTTAAGGAGCTGCTCATGTGCACTGATAAACTGAGATTAGAAGGGGAAATCTTTCCAAATTCATTTAATTTTGAAAATTATTGATTCGTTTTTTTTTTTTTATTTTCAATTAGATGAAAATGAAGAGGCAAAAGACAAAATGAGTTTAGGCACAACACATGCTTGCAGGAGATAGACACATGGAGGCATATGGTCTGGATCTTGTACTTTCAATAGTAATTTGCCTGAAGTTAGAAGTCTACCCAACAAAAATCTGTATGAATGATCATGTAAGATAGAGGTCTCCCTTCTTTTTATTAACACTCGGAGGTGTGGTGGCATGTGTCGAACGTCCAAGCAGCTTGGGAGGCTGAGACAGGAGGATCACTTGTGTTCAGGAGTTTAAGACCAGATCACATTTCAAAAAATAAAAATTAATTTAAAACAAACACAGTATCAAAAATAGAACTTAAGTGTGTAACTCCATTAGTGGACTGGTATATCCCTAAGTCAAGATGATGGATCTGAGGAAGTCCTCAGAATTTCAGGGCTAGCTCACTGCCTTCCAATTTTGCTTGTAACCTGCTGCTTGTGCTATGTTCTCTATGGAAGAGTGATGTAATATAATTTTATTCAAGTAGAAAAGATATTTTGTTGTCTCATGCCCAGGTTGATCTTAGATGATTGTTTTTAATCTCAAAATCTAGCTCTTATATCCTGTTTCTGCCTATACTAGAAAACTGGCATAATCCTGAAGGGGAAGGAAGGTAAATGGAAATGGTATCTGCATCTCCCCTGCAGGCTACCTCTTGCTTTAGTTCTCCCATCTCAATGAAACTCACACAGAATCTGACCATGTCATTGATCTTTTAGTCATAGTTAAGACAGTCAAGTCTGGACTTTAAGTCTTTTGTACCACCATGCCAATCAGGGCTCAAAGTCTGACACATAGACTGCTACAGATAGAGGTATTTCCAGCAGAAAGGGATTGTATTAGCAATGGGCTCTCTAAAGATGAATTAGAGTGGCTTATAACTGATCAGAGCTACACAGTCCCAATGTCTGTCTTTACAATGCAGAGGCTGAAAAGCCAGTAGCTGCTCACTCCATGAAGCTGAATGTCTCAGCAGTTCTACTCCTGCTTTCCTGGAGAAGCTGTCTCCTGGCTGCAGCAGCAGAAGAAATAGTAGCAGCGACTGCAACCGTGGGGTGGATACACTCACCCGCAAGAAGCAAAGGCAGGCAAGCAAGCAACAGGGGATTTTCCATAGACTTCTTTATACCTAGGTTGTGCTTGGAAGGCATCACCCACTGTGGGGGAGTGTCTTCTCTGTTGATCCTTCTTGGAAAATCTGAGTACCTTGACTGGGCCCAGGTGGGTGAAAGATACCTACAGGCCAGCCTGGGTCCTTACTGTCTGGTTGGGTAGGTCCCATTATGATGGACACATATATGGTGGAGAATTGGAGAGAAAGGTAAGCAGAAAGTTCATGTGCTGTGGGAAGAGGCAGACCGGAAGTGAAGGTGATGGGGGAACAGGCTGATGTGAGAAGCCTGCTTGCCACCCGACACCAGGGTGACATCCGGGCCCATGCTGCTGCCCAGGGCCATGTCTGGGTCCATGGTGCTATTGTGGCCAGGGTCTGTGTTGACATCCATGGACCCATGTTGCCACCAAAGGCCACAAGGGGTCTGGGCCACCACCTGTGACTGTGTTGGAGTCCAAAGGCCGTGCTGTCACCTGGGGTCGTACTGATATGGATGGCTTGTGCTGCTACCCAGGGCCATGGTGACATCCTGGCCTGAGCTGCCAGGGTCTGTGTTGATGTTCATGGTCTGTGTTATAACAGGGGGCCATAGGAACCATGTGTGTTGAATTCTGAGGGCTGGGCTGAGCCGGCCCTGCCCTTCACTGGCCCTGCCTCTCCCTGGACACTGCAGCCGGACAGCTTCTTCCCCTCACTGGGGAGGGATGGCTCCATCCCTTACCACAGGTGTGTGAGAGTTGGTCCCAAAGGCAGGAGACCTGGCTGCGCCCCTCACCTGAGGGGGGTGATCCTAGCTGCCCAGACTGACAAACACAGCTACCACCCACACCCACATCCTGGGTCTTGGGTTGGCCCACCCTAACATCTACACTACCTATGACCTGCAGGAGCACATGAGTGAAGGGACTGGCCCTGCAGAAGGATAGCTGATTGCTGCAGGGTCTCCCTGACTCAGGGCAACAGCAGGCTGTCCAAGAGGAGTTTTGGTGAGGGTCCAGTGATGATGGTGTGTGAGAGGCCCTGAACCAGACCAATGACTCACTGCAATGGACAAAAGTGTATGCTGTATGACACACCACAACTCCCAATGCCACTATGTTGCAAGCTCTTTCTTTACACTGTGTGAAGATGTGTCACTGTGATTGGTTTTGTAAGTGCTGAATGGCCAATAGTGAGGCAGGCAGCTCTTAGACAGGACTTCTGGGGACATAGAGGACTCTGGGAAGAAGAAAGGGGAGATACCGGCAGACTCGCAGAGCACGTCGGACATGTCATACTCAGGGGAGGTAACTGAGGCATGTTGCAGAACATAGATTAAAATTATGGGTTAATTAGGCTATAGGAACTAGTCCGGAAAAAAAAAAAAAAGCCTAAGTTAAGGCCAAGCTTTCATAACTAATAAGAAGTCTCCATGTTGTTATTCGCAGGCTGGTAGTCCTGATGAGAGAGCTTATAACACCGCTAGGACAAAGGGAGAGGCGTTGGAGATGTGGGGAAAAACAGAGGAGTGAGGTGGCTGTTTTTGTTTGTTTGTTTAATTTGTTTTTTGTTTGTTTTGGTTTTCTTTTGGAGGGGGTCACTGCAGGGGCGAGGGGTGGATATAGAGGGACTGGGAGGTGAGTAGGATTGGGATGTATGATGTGAAATTCCCAAAGAATCAATAAAGAATTATATATATATGTGTATATATATGTTAAAAATCTGAGTATCTGATTTAAATCCCATTGAGTTGACAATATTAAACCTTGGCATGGATATAATACAGTAAATTCTGTGGTTACAGAATCCTTGCAAGAAAACAGCTCAGTTAAAAATGAAATGTAGTTGAGCAGTGGTGGCATACTCCTTTAATCCCAGCACTGAGGAGGCAGAGGCAGGTAGATCTCTGTGAGTTCGAGGCCAGCCTGGTCTACTACGTAGTGAGTTCCAGAATGGTGTGGCCAGGGCTGTTATACAGAGAAACCCTGTCTTGAGCGCCCACCCCCCAAAAAAAAGAAGAAAGAAAAAATGTAATTACCATAGGATTTAGTAATTCTATCCTGTGTGAAACGAACTTACTTTCACACAGAAACCAATACATGAATGGTTGTAGCAGCTTCATTTATAAGAGCCTCAGTGTGGACAGAGTCCAGAAATAATTCAGTAGATGAGTTGTTAGACAAACTATGATATATCCATATGATAGGGTATTACATTACAATAAAAACTAATGAACTATTGTTGCATTAACTTTTCTTGAGAAGACATGACTAAACAAACATGGGTTCAACACAGACAAGGCACAACAATAGACCAAAATATTATTCCATCCAAGTCTTGCTTGGTAAACTAAAGAGTTTATTTAAAGTTACTTACAGGAACATAGGGAAAGGGTTTCCTAGAGGAACATGGAAGACTTACAGGCACCTACATTACTGAAGAAAAGCCACCATCCCACTCCCATGATCATCAATGGCTTATGTATTTTGAGGAGGGTTGAAGATTCAGGTGTCTAGCATGCTGCCTCAGTGCCCCTTGTGCTGTCACATGTGAGTTTTCTCTCCCCTTCACAAGGGACTATTAATGGACAATCTTGTGAGGGTTTCTTGCTAACAGGGAGAGGGGGCAGAGTTCCACAGCCACTATTAATAAACATAACAACGGGGAACCCTGAGTGAAAAATCTAATCCCCAAAGACTATAAGATCCATTTATAATAAATAATCTCCCAATAATAAAATTTTAGAAATGGAGAACGTATGAGCAATTTACTAGTTAGAGACGGGGGTGGGAGGGAAGTGGTGTGGCCATGAAAAGTTAACAGGAAGCATTGATTGGGGAGTAGAACTGTTTAGTGTCTTACTGTAGTAGTGGCCACTGTACAAATGCAAAACTGTGTTGTTTTTCATTATCTAAGGGAGATTGGTTCCAGGATACCCCTACATCCCAACTAGTCCCCTCCAAATATCAAAGTCCACAGATGATCAAGTCTTTTGTATAAAGTGGTGTAGTGTTTATAATATAAACTATGCATATCCTCCAGTATCCTTTACAGCATCTTTAGATGACTTATAATACCTAATACAACACAAATGTGGTGTAAGTAGTTGTTACACTGTGTTACTTAAGGGATAACAAATGGAGAATTGTTTATATATGTCCTTTATAGATATAAGCATTGCATTAGTCAGGGACTTCTAGAGGAACAGAACCAGTAGAATGGATATATATGATGGAAAGAGATTTATTACATTGACTTATATGACCGAGACTAGTAGTCCAAGAATGGTCATCTGAATGCTGGATAGGATGAGAACCTGATAGCTGTTTAGTCCTTGAAGGTGGATACCTCAGCAATCTCAATCGAAGGGTTTGAGGATTCCTGGAGAACTGCCAGTCTATCATCCACACTGGAGGGCTGAACCTGGGTTCTGATATCTGCAAAAGATGGCATCAGCAGAGGCAGCAAAAACAAGATAGATGCACTCACCAGCAATAAGGGAAGGCAGTCAGGCAAAGTAGCACTGCTTTTTCCACGGAGTTCTTTAAGTCTGGATGACTGCTGGAAGGTGCCACACACTAACAGGGAGGGTCTTCTCTCTTCATCTAACCTTTCTGGGAAATACCCCCATAGACCAGCCTATAAGCAAGTCATTTAGAAGGTGACAATTAAGATTAATCATCACAGGATTGGCTAGTTGGCTCAACAGATAAAGACCTTTGTTGCCAAGCCTGACAACTTGAGTTCAATCCCTGGATTTTACACAGTAGAAGGAAACAACTGACTTCTATAACTTGTCCTCTGACCTCTACAAGAGCACAACATATCCACAGCCCCCCCCCCCAAACAAATATATGTAATTAAAAGAAGATTGACTGTCACAAGCATTGTAGTCTTAACTTCATGGTACATGGCACAAATTTGGTTGGGTAGATGGATGCAGAATGAATGTATACAGGGGATGGATGAACAGTGTTGATATTTTGGGTCAGCTGGGCTGTACACTGTAGGATGCTCAGCAATAGACCTGTTCTTTAATTACTAAATAACAGTTGTGCAGTTCCAGTGTTACAGTAAAAAACATCTTCAGGCATTGTCAAATGTTCTTCAGGTTACAAAATCTCCCATGGTTGAGAATTACTATGCTAGACTAACACACTTTCCCTCTGGCTAATGGAATCTCATGTTGTTCAGATTCTGTGCTGACTGTGCACATTCCCCTAAGGCCACTGGGAAAATCACAACAATGATGTTCAGCTGTCTTCCATACTTCCAAACCAAACCAACAAGAAAAACCTCTCCCACCCTGTCTGTTATGAGATATATTGTGTCCCTCTACTAATTTATATGTTGAAGTGTTAGACTTCACTGCCTCAAAACTGAGTCTTTAAAAAAGCAGTTTGTGGGCTAGTTCAGTGGATAGAGTATTTGCCTAGTATGCACAATGTCCTGGGTTCAATCCCCAGGACCACATAAACCACATAATCTGAGCACTCCAGAGGTACAGCCAGGAGGATAGAAACTCAAAGTCATTCTCAGCCATACAATGAATTGCAGGATGGTCCTGGGCCACATGAGACCTTGTTTCAAAGCAAAAAAACGAACAAAACCAAGAAATAAACCCAAAGCCACAAAACAAAACAAAAAACTTAAAAAAATACATAAAATGAAAAAGTAATTGGAGAAAGGATCCTTTTTATTTTTAATCATTCCATTTGTTACTTTTAAAAATGTGTGAGCATGTGTCAGGGTCAGAGGACAGCTTGCAGTACCTGGATCTTTTCTCCCACTATGTGGGTCTGGGTGATTGGGTTCAGGAAGGCAGACATGGTGGCAGGTGCCTTTACCTCCCAAGCCGTCTTCCTGGCTGGGAAACAGGGTCTTTAATAAGGTAATTAAGGTAAAATGAGGTCATTAGGGTAGTCCCTAATCAAATATAACCAACATGATTACAATCGGAAATTTAAACACAAGTACATACAGAGGAAGAGCACCATGGGACATGCAAGGGAACAAATTCAAGCAAAGGAGACAGGCCTCAGAAGAAATCAACCCTTGATCTTCAACTTCACCATTCCAGAATGGTAATAAAGTTTGCTTGTTTAAGCTACACAGTTTGTTCTTCATCTCAATTATTTTGTAAATATTTTCTTTACTATTTTCTGCATTTTCAGGCTCTATAAATACTGGTTTTATTTCTTCACTTTGTAATGTTTGGGATCAGACCCAGAGGCTCACACATTAGGCAAGTGATCTACAACTAAGCCACACCCCAGCACATCCAATACAAGTTTGATTTTTATGATTTCTTCTTTTGTTACATTTCTTACTGGGCAGATTAATTTCTAGTATTCATATGTATGACACAATGTGTCTGAGCTACAAGACAAATGGGAAACATCTTCCCTAAATATCAGTTTTTGTCTGCAAGTTCTAAAGTGTTGAATTATTTCTCCTTGCATTGCAACGTATTTACATAAAAAATCTTTAAAAAATCATCTAGATTTCAGACATTTCTTGCTTTAATGAATATGTTTTCCAAACTTCTGGGCTATTTTCCATATAGAATGCACCAGAGAAAAGGCAAAATACTAAACCAGACAAGATTATGTATAAAGATGGAACGTTCCTGAGGAGTTTGGGCACCCTGGTCTTGGGACTGCAGGTTTGCATCATACCCATCACGTTCTATTGAGCACTGTCCTGGTAGCTCATTTTGAAAGTGGAAAGACGATTTGAGGATATTTATTGGAGAGACAAGCAAGGCAGTGGGGGTGTGTTTCTTTCCCTCACTGTCCTATGTCTGAGTCCTTTGCCAGACCTTTCTGTCAAAGTTTATCTACCAAATGGAAGCAAATTGAACAGACACAGCAGGAACCCCACCTCATGAAATTTGTCACGTACAGGTTTACTGACCTGTGCATTTTTTGTCAATTGTTTCCTTATGCAGGTCGGGTGGGGCCAGAAACTTTTCTGCTAAGAACTGCCAGCTCTTGAAGTAAATACTGTTCCTTGAGTGGAGTTATTGGGAACCCCCAAACTAGTTCCAAACTTTAGGAAAGTGCCAGAAGATACCCAGATACCCAGGTTAGGATTAAGGTTAGTCATTCCCCATATCTATAACCCCACTTAGGAGCCTTGAAACGCTAGTGCCCTCAAGGTATGTAAAATGGACTTCTCACAGAGACACTGCAGTAGGGTTCCAGAAATTATTTAATAAGGTCGATGACCCCAGGCTTGCGATGCCTTGGAGCAGAGCTTTTTCCTACCGAAAAGGTCAGCTTGTCATTCCTCCTGGAATCCTCGGACGATATCAGGATTCCCGGGGACCAAGGCCCAGGCAGGCAGCACCCTCCTACCCGGTCACAGTCCGGCATCCTTCCTCTTCCAGGAGCCGGACGCCCTCAGGCCCCGCCTCCTAGAGGGGCGTGGCTGAGCGCGGAGACCCCGGTGGGGGCGGGGCCGCAGGGGGCGC